TCAATGAGAAAGATGCTCTAACTCCTGGGACTGCCTCGATTGAGGGGGAGTGGGACGAGGATGACATTCTCGAAAGTCCCGAAAAGCCATCTAATTCATCGAAAACACCTCCCCAAAGCGACGATGCACCAAGAAATCAACAAAATCGAGGGCTCACCAATGCAGTTAACCCTCCCATTCCACTTCAGGCTACCCTGAAGTAGACCATCTTAGGTGAATTATTTCCCTGACTTAAAACACCCAAGATGGGGGTGAAATAGCAGGACATCCACTCTGAGTGGGATGTCCCAGCATTCAAGTGGGAAGTGGGAAGTCCCAGCAAATGGGATGTCCCAGTGCGCCGCAGGTGGAGAATTTTTTTAATGAACGTCACGCTTGATAGCCCATCTGACAGCTTGTTTGGCCTCAGATCAGATAATCAAAAGGGGTATATTGGCACGATCTGTGGACCGTTTTGGCTGGGAGTAGGCTCATTTGAAAGCCTGTCGGGAGGGCGTTCTGTGGGCATGGTATGGGCCACATCGGAGTATATCAAATTTCCACTGTACGGGGGATCAGTGTGGAAGGGTAGGTTGGACCGCTCGTTGCCATTCCCCTTTTTTACATCACTGTACGTACTTTACGGTATATCGGTCTTCGGACCGCTTATTTGTTTTGTATGTACACAGGGCCAAATATATTCCCTTACGCCCAAACCACCATCTTCGACGCAGCCGGTGACTTGAGTACCCCAACGCGGGTACGCTGCCAGTGAACACAACCCACGCGAGCCCTACATTATCGCTATCTTCGAGCCTTTTCTCGTTCCACGAGCACTCCACGCCTACACGGCACTTTACCCCTATCTGCGACATTTCTCATTCTACGCCTATACAACTTTCCTGGGACCAACACACACCTATTAGCTTCACCAGTGCACCCCATATCTGGACAACTGACCCACCAGTTCTGTCTACGAGCAGGGAACTCGCTACTGCGACATCAGCTGGACGAAAATTGCTCTAGCGGGGGCATACGTGCACCGATTGGGCTGGGAGTGGGCCCATTAGACCCACACACCTCAGGGCTACCACTGGGCACAATATTAGGGGTATCTGAGTACTTTCATTTTCCACCGAATTTTGGCACCCAGCACCGAAATCGCTCTAGCGGGGGCATACGTGCACCGATTGGGCTGGGAGTGGGCCCACTAGAACCGCATACCTCAGGGCTACCACTGGGCTTGATATCAGGGGTATCTGCACACTTTTGTTTTATGACCCTCAGCACCGAAATGGCTGTAGCAGGGGTGTACACCCACCGATTGGGCTGGGGGTGGGCCCATTAGCACCGCATACCTCAAGGCTATCACTGGGTGCAATATCAGGGGTATCTGTGCACTTTTGTTTTTCGGCCCCCAGCACCAAAATTGCTGTAGCAGGGGCATACATTCACCAATTGCACTGGGGGAGGGTTCATTAAAGGTGGTATACCTTAGGGCTACAGCTGGGTACCTTATCAAGGGTATCTGAACACTTTCGCTTTTGCTGACTTTTGAAATGGTCGACTTGTCGACTTGAGTATTGACTTGTCGACTTGAGCATTGACTTGTTGACTCGCGTATTGCTTTGCATTGACTTGCACTTACAGCTTACAACTTACGACCTAACTTTTACAACTTTACGAACATTTACTAGTTACACCTTGGACTTGTACAATAAGTTGACCTCCCAGGTGTGACATGTCACATGGGATGTCCCATCTACATGGGACATCCCACCCCCTCACAATGGGACCTCCCATCGTGTAGCTCTGGGATGTCCCATACAACTTGCAGAAAAACCATGGGTCATCCCACTCAGAGTGGGAGGTCCCACTCAAATTTTCCTGCACTAGTGGGACATCCCACTACTATTTTCGTATGGGACGTCCCACAACACCCACGATGTGGGACATCCCACAATTATTATTTTTTCGAACAGTGGGACATCCCATTTTTTTCACCCTATGGGACGTCCCACACCTATCTCCCATGGGACATCCCACACACTTTTATTTCTTTATCTGTGGGACATCCCATCGTATTAACCACAATGGGATGTCCCATTCTTATTTTCATCATGGGAAGTCCCACTCCCACTAACTATGTCTAAGTTCACTCTAGTTCTATTCATACTGTCTGAGTTACACCGAGTCTCACTGCTTATCCTTCCGACAATCTTCCACATATCCAAATACGGAACTCAACGCCAACACCCATATAAGGCGATTTTGACTCAACGCCCGTGGCCTAAATAGGAAGGTTGGACTTGGCAATTTTTTTGGGTGAGCGATTTTTTTCTTCTTCCATCATTCGTTCTTTTCACTTGTATGAGCACTCTCTGCATAGCCCCCATCGCCGCCGTGCCCTAACGCGTCTCCAGCCTCTTTTTTTTTAGGCAGTTCCAAATCGGGAACTCAACGCCTGAGTCCCAATTAGGAAGTTTGGACTTGAGAAGCAATTCAAGCGTCGCGCACACAAGGAACAATTTGTATCACACGAGTAGGTAGCATAAAACATAATACATGTAGTAGGTAGGATACTTGTCGAATTGATTACTTGGCGCCGTGTAAAGCTAATAAGTCCTTTGCACGTTCGTACCGATCTTTGTCCTCATCGGTCGCAAGCACTGGCGTCATTCCAGGCCTGATCTGGTGCCACCAACCGTCATCCGGGTTGTATTCGACGGTGTAGAAATCCGCCCTTGTACGTTGGTCCGTCGCTATCAAGTGCGTGGCGAAAAAGGTCATGCTGGTAGTGGCTTTCTCATCGCCGGGTTTCCGAATGGCGAACCACAGTTTCATGAGGACCCTGTTGTTCTCCTGCAGTGCTGTTTCAGGCGATGCTTCTTGACGCTGCCGCTTGCTCCCGCCTCGATCGTCCTGTTCACCAACGACGGATCGTGCGCGCTTGGCTTGCCTGGGTAAACACGATGTTTTCTATAACTCCTTCTGGCTCGTTCTATTAGCCGGAAGTACTACGGACAAGCCTCCTTGATTGAAGCTTTGGCCCAATTTGACCTTGGTTGATCCCACGGAGGGCGGCGCAACCTGAGCGAGTATGTATTTGACTAGATTCTCACCCCGTATGATCGAGGGGGAGTAGCTTAGGTATGAGCAGTGGGAGGTAATAAGATCATTCTTCTACGGACGTCCCTGCTTTATACTAATTTCTTTCCGACCGCCGCGCGCACCTTATTCCTCATTCGTCCACGGACCCCTTTCAACACTGCCCTCCTTGCCTCGCGGCAGGGATCTCCATGCTTTCCCGTGCGCTTGAAGGAGATACCTAACCACGGACTGTAATGTTGCTGCCCGTGCGCCCAATTTCCGTACTCCGTAGCTCGCACCTCCTTCCGTAGCTTTGATATGTACCGCGTGGCGACACTTTCCGTACTCCGTGCAGTACCCGCGTTGGCGATGTTTACCGTTCCGTGTTCTGTATGCATCATGTCGATTTGTTAATTTCCGTGAGGCCGTGGTGATTTGGGATTTTTGCAGTGGTAGGCCTGGTGGCGTAACTGGTAACGCGCGCATTCGTGTTTTCCTCGATATGACATTGCGAGACCCTCGTTCGATTCGAGGTCAGGCGTGTACCAGTCCTTTACTTTTCCCCGGAGAGAATCAAGTGGGTCGACACCTTTTCTTTGACGTCTTGTAGTGTAGACCTGGTGGCGTAACTGGTAACGCGCGCATTGTAGTTCTTCTCAATATGCATTGCGAGTCCCTCGTTCGATTCGAGGTCGTCGTGTTCCTTTTCCCAGGAGAGAATCAACCGTGGGTCGACACCTTTTCGACGTCTTGTAGCGTAGACCTGGTGGCGTAACGGTAACGCGCGCATTGTCGGTTCTCTCACAATATTGCATAATGCGAGTCCCTCGTTCGAATCGGGGTCAGGTCGTTTTTGCAACCTTTTTCTGTGCGTGCTCCGTAGTGCGTATTTGCCTTTTCAGCCACGAGGAGCGTATCACAAAGTGATAGCTCACATCTCCTCCCCACTTTTGAATGCCGACCGTCCCCGGTTGGCGCCACGTATAAATATGACCCATCCGTAGGTCGAGAATCAGAACTTTTTCTGAAGATGGATGCCTCTGCCATTGGTCGCTTCCATTCTACAATTCATCCCCTTCCTGCGGAAAGCCTTGACGTCCCGATTGGCGGCCTGGCGGAGTTCCTTTATCGCAACCTCCGGTTCAAGGTGTTCCTTGTGGCGATTTCCGTGCTGGAGGACCGTTGGGCCACGCGTACGCGTCCTTCACTGACCACGAAGGATCTTCATGAAGTGCGCGTCTGCGTACGTCTAATTGTAGACCACATGGTAGGCGAAGTTGTCCAGATATTCAGGCGATGGTGTTTAACTGTTGCTTCCTAGTATTATGCCGCACGGCTTCGCCAGAATGAGCTGCGGTCCAACTTCAGTCGCCATAACACCCCGCCTCAATCGACGTGGATGTTTTACTTGATCTCCGTACTCCTTTACGCGGTTGGTTTTGACGGAGACGATGCGCCTGACATCCACGGAGTCAGTGTATTCGGCCTAGCGATTTCGCAAGTGGAGTTCTTTTTGAAGGAGTGCGCGGAATCCGTTGCGCTCTTTCGTATCTCCAAGGACCCAATATTCCTTGAGTACGAGGAGTACGACCCGCACCGTACTATCGAGGTGGTGTTTCCTTCTCGGCAGCCCCCACGGAATTACAAACGTATTCCTATCAACGACAACCCCGTGCTTGATTTTTCCGTGAAGGCCACTACCCCCCTCTGGACGGACGCGCAGCGAGTTATCGAAGCCACTTTGCTGGCGCTTTCTCGCGTGGAAGGAGCGCTCGTTGTCGAAACGGATAGAGATGGAAAGGTAATCGGGGTCCAGAGAGAGAGTGTGGAAGGTTTGCTGGCAGACATGGTACAGTCTCCGCCGGCGAGGTCCCATACCGCTGACTGTTTGCAAGGAGGACCTCCAGGCATTATACCCGGAAGCCCTTGCCCTACTTTGTGCACGGATGAAGAAACCTGTGGACGAGAAGCCACGGAATGGAGTATTGTGATGCTGTCCTCTTCGGAGCTGAGATCCATGCGCTCGGATCACTTAACATTTCCCGTATAAAAGGCTCGCCGTAGTCGCATGTATGTCCTCGCGTTATGTCTTTACCCATGCCCCCCCCGTGCGCCTAAGTGCAGACTTCTACGGAATTGTGGATGCGTGCGAGTTGATTATTGAACATTCGCTCGCCACGGGCGTGCGGTTTAGCCCAGGACATCCCGAGTGCGAACAGCTGGACGACGTATGGAGTGCATCGTTCGCCCGTCGATTTATCTGCTGGATTGCGCTCTACGGCCCGCGAATCGTGGCTGGCTGGCGCCGTATGAACTGACCATGCTGGAGTTAATCTTTGTTCATGACGCGCTGGCGAATATAATGGGCATTCTGGCGAGTCTTCCGTTCTTGTTCCGTGCACTAGTCCGTGCTTAGTATAGCTCCCGCAGTTTCATCTGCTCGAAGAAGGCGGCCACTTTCCCAGTGACGAACATATCGGGAACGCGCAGGAAGGGTTTCGTTGCTACGTAGCGTTCCGTGGCGCCTGCCTCCGTGGATTGGATAGGCTTAACGAAATGCACGCAGTTTATCTGCCCGAGTCTTCTACACGGCTCGCTCCTTCGGCGGTTTCGCTTAATCTGAGCCGTGCCATACTGCTGGCACGAGCATGGCACCTTGTTGAACCCGTGGAGGACTTCACGGCCTTTATTACTGGTAGCCCGGAAGATATTGTGCTGGGACTTTAGCGGTCGATTTGTCGGTTAATATGATGTGTTCTCCGCGGATGTTTCCGTAGACGCGTGCTCCGTACGCTTGTCCGCTTGCGCTAAGAGCATAAATACGGGTCGCGTCCCATCATCGATTTTCGCTATTCTTGTGTCCATGGCGCAGACCCCGTCTCCGCCCGATTCTCCACGCAGCGACCTCCTCAGAGTCATTGGGAGCCCTGCAGGGCGTGCCCTCGCAGTGAAAGTGGAGCAAGCCTGCGCACTCATTCGGCCGCTCGAGATTAGCGACACGGAATACGCCCTTGGCTCGAACTGGCGTCCACCGATCCCCATTTCCAACATACTGCACCAGGTTCTCCCCGCCGTATTTGTCCTTCAGCAAGCGCTGGATCCTTCCTTCCATCGCACGAGATATGGCAGCTTTCAATTTCCGTACACCACGACCCGTGTCGTCCAGGCTACCCTGCGGAAAATGATGGAGCTAGTGGTATGCTCATCGTCTCCTCCGTGCGGAAGTCGAGCCTAATTCTGCCCCCTTTTTGCGAACTCTTTTAGCACCTGATTTCGCTCACGGACCCCGAATATCCATCCTATGTTGCCCTGTGGGATGGCATCTCCGCGGTGCATCTGATCCCGGAAGAACCACCGGTGTCAGATTTATCGATGGGCCAGTTCGAAATCCTCGATCATATGGTCGAAATTTATGGTTTCGAAGGGGAAAATAGCGAAGGCGGTGCGCATATGAGCGCTGCGCTCGAACATTTAAAACGCGTGGCCACCTGCTGGGCCGCGCTGTTGGGTACGCGTGGTGAATACCCCGAGTTCGAACGCTCCGGGCGCATGATGCGCAGACCGACTAATACCGGCTGGGTCGATCCCTCCTCGTCGTAATCATCGTTATGTCGCGCTTCGTAGTAATTTGAAATATCGTTGCGCTCTTCCGGCGAACCGAACCAGTTTGATCGCTTCGTGAGCCGGCCCACCCGTGCACCACTTAAGGAGCCGTGGATTGATAGATGGATCTGCGTTTTCCCCCCCTAAGCCATGGCGTCGATAACTCGAGCGTCTTTCGAGCTCCCCTCTTGGCTCAGAGACCTCGACGCTCATCTGCTAGCATATGACAACATCTCCGTAGGCCAGCGGCTTCGTTCGAACTGCGCGAGAGTCGAAATCCCCTCCTGGAAGCACGCCGATGGTTTTACCGCCCGCGCCACTCCATGAAAGACCTACTTCGCTACTTCATCCGTGCCCAGATCTTCTTTGTCCAGCTCGCTGTCGATCCGGAATTTCGCCTTTCCGTGCCGCTACCTGCGCTCTCCGTGGATGATCGTGCAGCAGTCCGTACGGCGCTCGGTCGCGTCCTCGAGCAACTGGTACGATTGCCTCCGTACTCCAGCCCGTGGCCTAGTGCTGATATTCGAACCTCCCCGTAGAGGGTAATTTATGCTTCGCGGCCTCATTTTGCCAGGCTTGCCCACTCGTGTTCATCCCGACGAATTGCTCGTACCCGGGGAAAGCTCGAACATGTTTCGCATCCTGCGGATTCTTCTTGCTGAATACGGGTTCGAGCTCGACGAGGAGGGCCAGCACGGAGGTTTACAGGTCTCGGTCCTGCGCGCGTTCGAGGCCTTCGATACCACAGCCAGCTATATGCGAGCGGCCACCGCGCAGCTCAAGGAATTTCCCGAGTACAACATGGACGGTTCCAGCACGTTCACCGCCTCTGGCAACGACGCCGAGCCTACGGAGTAGAGTTTATCGTTGAAATCTTCTGATGTATAACCGATTGGTGTGACTCCTTTGCGTACGGCAGTTTGCTGCCATATAAATCCGTGTCTTTGTGCTCGCTTTTTCCCCCATACCCTCTTCTCTGCTTTGCCCAAGAAATGGCACTCCGGTTCGCCCTGTTGCGTGATTATCAGCGCGGCGCGCCCGCCTCCTTCCGTACACGCTCGCAATTCGAGGTCTTCTTCATAGATCTTGATACGGAAGAGGAGCTCGTGCGCTATTTGCGCCGTCCTGAAGTCACCAACTTCTCGCAGCAAATTCTCGTCCCCCTTCGTGACCAGGTCATGCTCGTTCGAGATCGATTCCGTGGCTCGCCCCCCGCGGCTCGCGATTCCCCGTGGATCCGCCACCAGACTCGGTGTACATGCGTTATCTTGTGAGTCGTTATTCCATGGCAGTGCTCCCGATGAACTCTTCCTGACAATCCGTAGGCGTACATTCGCCGCGCTATTGTTCCAGATGTACACGGCATCGTCGGAAAACGCGTGCCGACCCCGTCGGTGGCGAGCCTTTTGTACATGATGCGCCTTATTCGTCGCTTCGGCTTCGCGGGAGACGATATCGCCACTATTGCTGAGTGCGCCGAAGACGATCTTTTAATCGTATTCAATCATGCGCACGAAACGATTTTCGCCATGGCCGCCCGTCTAGCTGACGTCCCCCCTCAATATGTCGCCACGCTTTCCGAAATTCAGATGGCCCCCCCTGGCGGGGTTCTTTCTTCATCGCCTCTGCTTTCCGTACGCGTCACGAACCTCGACCATGAACCGGACGCAGTTTCCTTGTCCGTTGATCCCGTTCCCTGCTCCACGGAGGGTGAACCCGTTGCGTACTTGTAGCGTAGACAGCCGCCTGTACGGAGTTCCCAAAATAGGCAGTTGTTATTGCCGGTTCGTGATGCCGGAATCTTAAGCGATATTCACGGATTCTTTTTGCCTCTGTCGTCCCCTTCCCCTTTAAAAGAGTGGAACCGCCGCTGTTTGTCCAACCACTCCTTCCCGTCATGGACCTTTCTGCTATTATCGAAGGCGACGAGAATTCTGTCGAACCCCGCACCACGGAGGAATTGACTCGTATCCCCGAAGCCCTGCAGCTCCTCCTAGCTCCGTACCGTTCTCGCCTTCCCGATAGTCGTTTATACGGAGAAGACCCCCACGGTGTCCTTCGATACTTCGAGGAAGTTGTCGGCCCCTACGCGCAA